GTTGCTGGCTGGGGCTAAACCATGACAAACAAGAAACCTGATAAACAAGTAAACTAGGAGGTTAAACTGAATATACTAGCAAGACTAAAGAACACATATGCCAATTTAAGGGGCACTTCTGTTCAAAGTGGCAGGGCTTTAAGTTTTACTGATATGCAGAAAGACAAATGCTAGATGTAACATACTACTCAAAGCAATTTAAACAAAAACCTGTAATCATAGGGAAAGGTTAAGGGGTTTTTGGTTAAAGGAAAGTACAATTCACTAGCACAGAATTCCTGATTTCTGCTAGTCAATATTACCTCTGCTTCTACTCCTAGCTCCTCCCCAGTAATAAGAGTACTCCTTTTTATACTTCCCCTCCAAGTTTCTTTTTCTGCTTACCCATAGGCTGATGTCTTCTTGAGGATAGAAGGTGGTTGGGCCCCTGGAAGGGGAATGTCCTGTATGAGGATGTTGGAGGGAGCATGTGGCATATCTGGTAAGGGGATACTTTCCACTTCAACATGCTGAGCATTCTGAGGAAAAAAAGAAAAGAAAAGGAAAAAAAAAAGGTAATGGGTTACTCCCACAGAAGCTACAGAACCTCATGAGCTTTCGGAGTACAGAACACATGGGACCTGCCATCACTTGCTAAAGGTATCTGTTCTTAGGGCATGATGTCTTGCACTGGTCTATGAAAGACACTTGGGAAAAAGTCAACAGTAAAAGCTTTCAACACGAAACAAAGCACACGCAATGCACCCATGAAAGGCTTTAGTCAAAATCTCAGTCAAAATCCAGTCAGGTTTCCATCTCCCTTTAGACCTTCAGTTTCCAAAGGGAAGAGGCTGCAGACAAGTATGCCTGTATTTTCTGAGTGTCCAGAAGGCACAAATCACAGGCTGCTGCATATTCCAAAGAAAGAAGAAAATAAATAAATAAATAAATATCTTACAGATACTTACACATGGACAACATTATGTTCTCCAATATGGTAGGGAAGAATGTCAAAGCAAGCTCTTTAAAAGAATGCCAAAGGATTCTCATTATTTCCAGCAACAGATTTCAGAGAAATTCACAGAAACATCAGCTGCACACTCACAGGCTCACTCTCTCTTTGATACAGAAAACAAATTCTGGTATTGTTGATTTGTGACATAAATTCCTCTTTCCCCTGTAATTTCTTGTTGAATGAAATCAATACATCAGAGATAACTAGAGACTTGACAAGCCCCACACTGTCCTCGCTGAAATGCCGTAACCAGAGATACTTTGCCAATTAATGTAAGTACTTAATATGGGCCACATAACATATACACTGGTCTCTTATAAAGTTCCCTTCGTTTATAACTGTCACACCTAATAAGCAGACAAATAATATACACTACCACAGTTACAAGCCTGAAATATAATAAGCATTACCTTGACAGCATCAAAATACTGGCTGAGTTGTGATCTCTTCTGCTCATACTCCACTTCCAATTTGCGCAGTTCTTTATAGATGTCAGGATTCTCTTTCTCATAGAGCCGCAAGATGCGCTCAAAAGTCTCACGGAGTTTTTTGCGTTTATCCTTTAGCACTTTTTCATTAAGTTGTGGCTGCTGTACTGGGTTAAACTCTAATCCAAGACAGCAAAAAACAACCCCAAAATTTTTGAATTACTCTACTGCACAACTGTCATGAATGAAGTAACTTCAAAGCAAACAACTTCCAATCCCCATTTTCAGGAAGTCTTCAGCCTTATGACAATCCCCTCCTTCAACTCTAAGTTACTATCACACACACTACTCATTCATCAGCCATCTTCTTGGAAAAAAGTCATCTTTGATGGCACCACATCACCTCAAATCATAATCAATCCCCAATTACTCACAGAATCTCCCCTTCTAACAGGAAAGGAAAAAGGTTACTCTATTTTAGTCTCCCAGTCATTATGCATCAACATAAACCTCTGCCCAAGTCCAACACATGGTACCTCTCACTCACCCATCTCATCCAATTTTTCCATGTCCCGGATAATCTGCTTTGGATCTTTCATCTTCAGTACAGCTGCTCGTACCATCATTCGTTGCTTTTTGTTCTAAGAAAATCAGAGATCAAGCAGATCAGAAAAGTGTCACAGGCGAAAGAGAGGGAACATTTGTACCAAATAATCCCCTCTCAATATTCCCAGTCTGTAGAAAAAAGAGCCTCAAAATGCCTTGCAAATATTAACCATGACACAAATCAGAAGCAAAGGTTATTAAAACTTCTGAGAATTTTAATTCCACTATCTTGCTATTTACAAATGCTTCTATAATTCATTCCCTCCAATTAAGACACATACAATCAACAAGATAACCAACTGACAAAAGATATACAGTAAAACACACTAAAAAGTATGTGAGTCTTCGGTAGTTTATTTGTTGTTTGGTTTTCTTTTTTAATTCCCAAGTACTTACAGTAATGTTTTCAAAAGCTGCAATCATAAGTTAAAAAATAGTAGATGATGAGATATGGTCACTCAAAACAAGATTTCTGTCTATGTTTTCTTAAAAGTACTTGTTTGGACAGTATTTTCCAAAGTCAATCTTAGGATATCAACCAAAACATCCATGGTCTATTCATTGGCCATAGCCCATTACAATCACAAATATGATACATAGTACAGAGAATGCCAAGTAAACATTTCTGGTCTCTCTATTTACCTTCTTTAGCTCCCTTTTCCGAGCTTCCTTCCCTAGAGAGGAGGGAGAAAGAGAAAACAACAACTTGAAAGAGACAACCAAACCCACAAAGAACCTTTCCTTCATCAAGATTAGTGCTGTTTCTCAACAGTTCATTCATTTTACGGAGACTAACTTTTAAACTCATCTTCCCAGTGAGAGAGATATACAGCATGAAACAGATTTCTATTTCATGTGTGTTATACAGAAAGGAAAGGAGATAAAGCAGTCTTTGTGTCTCCAGAAGCAGGGGTGTTTCTATACAGAAAAGAACAACAGGCAGCAAAAGTCATACTGATGTGTGCAGTCATGAAAGGATTGCTGCCCAGAAGCTGAAACAGAGCCAACAACAGACAACATGCTTTAAAAACATGTAGTCTTTGAACACACATCTGAAATAAAGTATATTCACCATGGAAGTGTGAATTTTCTTTATCCGCTTAGCAGATAAAGTAACATCTGGCACGTTACCAAAAGGAAAAACACGGTTAGACAACTCCCTCATCTAACCAGACCACTTGCAATATTTGACTTGTTTCTCAAATTCTACCCTCAGACACATTAACAATGTCCCAAGCAGCAGCTTGCAGTTTAGCCAACAGCTAAGTACAGACCTTTGAACACTGATAACTACAGTAAAAAACTAAGAGGTAAATACTGCAGAGAAGCAACAGCATGCAAGCAAGCAGCCTTTTCAGGAAGTTTTTACACGAGCTAAAACTGAGACAATATTTTTCAAGTTAGGGAAACTCAGTTCTGATTCACAAGTGAAGATCTTATCTTCAGAGAAAGCTTTTTATCTGCTTCCCTAGGACCTCCCCATTCCCATCTGCTTAGCTTTTATGGATACTTACGGGCCTGATCCGTGGGATTCATAAACTTCCCACTCTTGGTGGATGATGTAGATCTCCGCCCCATTTTGAGGTTTTCCTTCTGCCTCAAAAGAAAGACTTAAAAAGAGGGAGACACCTGGAAAAGATGACATGGTTTCAGGTCCTATGCACCAGTAGTTTGAGTATACTTATTTCTCCTCTCCATATCAGCAGGTTGTTCCCTCAAAAACCTCAAATACTTGTGAGGTCCTCAAACACTACTACAAGCTCAGATATTCACACTAAAATCACCCTACTTTAACTAAGTACTACTATTTAAATAAGTACCTACTTACTACTACTTTACTAAGTAGCTACTTTAAACTAATCAACCAGATCTTTATTACTCCAAGACTCAAACCAAGAAGCTTCTTGCTTACACTACAGAGTGCACAGGGGAGGGAGAAACACACATGCTGTTTTTCTAAGGGCATATCAGAGTCCTTCTAGCTTTTCATTTACTCTCATAAAAGCTCTTCAACTTTAACCTTTCCATTCCTATTTCAAATGTTTCCCACAGATTTCCTCCTTTCCTCAGACTTTTAAGCTGTCCTTGATTTCTCTTCCCAGCACCCACTTTATCAACCAACAAGTGTTCTGCGCACACATTGGTGTCTTCTTCTCTTCCCCATGGACCACTGCTATACTACCACCCTTATGCTCTCTTATTTTCATCAGTATTATTTCAAGCTGTGTTATGATGACCAGAGAAGAAAAGGTTATTCTGGAAATAATTACTTCCTGTCTCTAGACATTTCTTCAACTTACAGATGACTACATGAGTGTCCAAACTACAGCCAGGGAAGTTGCCTCTCTCACAGCTCTAATATCCCCCCCCACCTCCACCCCTACTTCCCTGCCAAAACACCACTCAGGGGAAGGGTGGTAGAAAACACAAACAAACCACCACAACAGATTCCACCCCAAAATCTAAAACACCCTCTGAAATTTGGGAGTTGATGGGATGCAACTTTCCAGCCATCATACTGCATCCAAATAGATTGCAACCAAAGTGAAAGCATTCACAAGTTCAGTCCAAAGTTCTCTGCTGCCTCACTGCAGTCGCCATGTGCATCCTTCTTCCCTAATTACAGAAGATGCCACTTTCAAACCACTAAATGATGTGCCTCCCCTTACCCCCTAAAAACAAATTTAAGCACAGTGTCTCATTTAGTGCTTCAAGACCTTACAGAAGGGGTTCCTAGCAAGCACCAAGAACTGACCACATTCAATGCACTGACTAGTAAAAATCTACAGAGCTCTGCTCAAGGCTCATACTACCAGGTTATGCTTACAGTTGGCCCGCTGTTTGCAAGAGCACCCCATGATTTCTGATCACCGATAACGTACTTCCTACTTATAAGATTACACTAGTATTTTTGCAAGACACTATCATTTCTTTAGGGGGGAAGCTCACCGAACAGAGGTAGGAGTTACATTTCCACCCCGCATTTCCCAGATTTCTAACATTTAAAGGGTAAA